CTCTAACTCGGACTCCCTTGCCTTAGCTGCCTCGTCTTTCTGGGATGTCTGGATGAGCCTCTGCTCCAAAGTCCCCAGAGATGCTCGGAGACTGTCAGCATCTACAACACATTCATCGATAGGCTTATACTCGCCATGAACACATACTTTCTTTGGACACCTTTAGTTCCTCCCGCAGGGACCCAGCCTCTGTCTGAACTCCCTCGAGCTTCTGCTGGAGGTCACCGTAGCGACCCGACTACGGCCATATAGGCAGGTAAACAACACGACGAGTCGAGGCCGTGCCCCTCACCTCTCTGTGCAGCAAGTCAACAATGTCCGCCACCAGCGAGGCCTCCGCTTCGTTCGATGTCACTTCCGGTAATTCCCCTTCAAGAGGCAGCCGACCTGAGCATGAGCTGCATAGCAATGCCACAACAACTGAACAACAGTTACTGATAAGCGCCGCTGCATCTTTCAGCCCTTCGGCGAGCCCCTCAGGTCCAGTACTGCCAACCTTATCTACTTCACAAAAGCATTCACTCGCAGACGAGGTCGCTCGGAGCACCTTCACTCCTGGATGCGAAGACCGACTTCTCTAGAGCTCTGATACGAGTCTCCTCATGTGCCTCGACAGCAGCTGGGCGGAAGGACATCGTGTCACCACCAGCGCTCAGAGCCTGCCGGATCTTCATCTCGCACGGCCGTAGTAGTCTCTCAACCTCCTCATCGTGATGGTTGTCCTGGAAAGACCTGATTTCACCGGGGCGATGATGCAGATCGCGTACTACTAGGTGAGCAGCTGCCGCGACGGCAACTAGTCTAGCTGCCAGGACCGCACTTCCCGCGACGCCCGCTACAGCCAGTGGGTTGAAGTCAGGGAACCTGTGAGGATCTGAAGGCGTGGTATCGGAAAGAGACGATTACATAGCTGAGCATGCAGACTGCAGCTTGGTGAGGAAGTTCTGTACTGATACGACAAGATCATCGTAGGGCAGTGAGGCCCCCGTGCCCACGGCCATATGGTGCACGACATCATCCAGCTCCTGAAGCAGCTGCCTACATCACCCACTGGAGCAGCCGCCCTACCCCTTCTGCGGAGAGCAACAAGTCGGCGGCTCCCTTGGTGCTGGCCACACTGATACATCTACAGCGAGCACCATTGATGTTAGAATATCGCCGAGGGTCACCTCTCGACGCCTTGCCCAGCCAATTCCCTTATAGTTCCAGCAGAGGCATCAGCCGTCCTAGCCAGCAGCGAGCAGAGATAAGAGCCCTGCGACCTAGATAGATGCCCCATATGCAGGTAGGGTTGGTCAGCGTCATGAACTCACTGCGGCATTCCACACAGCCATCGGGCCAAACATAGACTCATGACCTTAGCTCTACGTAGGACTCGTCGTAGCAAGGACAGGGCCTGTCAACGCTACAATAACAGCGGCATCATCAAGCTGCCTACCTTCAAGCTTGTCAGAGCCGCCCT